GCCATTGGTCACTCTGAAAAGTCTACAGCTAAACACCACCAAGCTCAGAAAGGGCATAGTAAATTCAAAGTCATTATGAACATTTGGGATTTTACTAGCTCTTCTGGGGAATTAAAAAAGGACTGCATTTTATAACTTCAGGGTTTTATAGAAAAGTTCTTAAAATGTAGTCTAGAGTCAGAACAAAAATGGTATGATACAGTCATACTTCCTTTTTGTAAATAAAAGTTTAGGAGCAGATTTTTGTGGCTACAACTTATTCAATCCAATTCAATTCAGTTTATTTACATAGCATGTCATCTCAAGGCACTGATGTATGAAAAAAGTCAATTTTGTATATATTATGAAGACGCTGAAGCACGCTGACAAATGTTGACATACGGCGTGCCAGGGTATGCTCATATCAGGGCCATAAGTTACAGGTAAGTTATGTGATCGTTGACATATGTTAAGTGTATGTTACTCATAAGTTGTGGTCTTTAGCTTATCCAAAATCTATGAGTAACTTGTGCATAAATTATGCATAACTTTACAAGAACGTATACCAAACGCATATCAATGTATTGGACGAATTCCACACAACCGCTGAGCATGTTTCTAACTTACAGCTAGTGTATAATGGCGTTTGGGTATAAAAGGAGGTTCACAGGAGGAAACATTTTGTATTCCTGCAGACTGCATTCCCATCATAGGGTAAATGAGAAGGTGAGTGTGATGGATCCTCCCTGCATTCACGGCCACCTCCAAGACCAACAAACTTAATAGCAGACATGACCCTGAATCTGCTGCGACTGCAAACTTTCTTTCTTTCTTTTTTCATTTTATTTTATTTTTTTTTTTTGCAGGCAGTAAACGGCAGCTAGGTTAATACCGTGATCAAAGAAATCTTTTTATGCAGGCCGGGAACCTCTGTGTGCATCACTGGCCTCACAGGACACTGGCTTGTGCATCATTTCATGGGCAGTATGCTGCGGTGCGTTATGCATAAGTTAGATTGGTCGTAAGTTTTGGACTTGTTATGAATACGCTATGTATACGCCCAAAATACATAGAAAGTTCCACATATGCCAGCATTTAAGAATATTCTGGGACGTCAGGCATATGCAGGCTTTTTTTAGGTCTTCATTATTAAATCAAATTATATTGGTGCATAGATAATTAAACATTATTGGTGCTGGATTCAGAGTACCAACAGCAGCACATTCATGTGCGCTCTATAAAAATATAGAATATATAAATGTATGTTAAATGGAGCCTGATAATAAAAATCTTTTATTTTATCCCCAACTCTGGCAAGGAGAAAAGACAAGAGTCTGTTAATTTTGAATAAAAGCACAGTGTGACAGTACTGGCAGGACATAAGAGGGATGAGTAATGAAACAAGCTCACTAGATAGATAAAGAAAGGGAGAGACAGCAGAGTTTTCTGATTTTGCGAAGACATTAATCACAGAACACAGCTGAAAATCAAATATTTGATTAAATAATCAAATCAAAAGATCCAAAGAAAGTAGACTCAATGGTAAATTAATTATATATAAACTGCAAAAGGTACATTACCAGTGTCTGTTTAAAACTTATTCAGAGAGGCTGACTCAGGATAGAAGTTCACTCATTAACACAGAAAATAAAGATATGGGACATCATATTTAAACATTATGCATGGTAAATCAAATAACATAATTCTTCCTATTGACTCTATAGATCAGTTAGCCAACCAAGAGGAAACACAGTTTACCAAAAGCAAGAACAACTCATGTTATATAAAAAAAAAGAGTAACCCAAAAGGGGGTAAGGTTAACAAATGTGAATGTAATCCTGGACCAACAAGGATAGTCTGTAATCCACCTTAATTCGGGCCAGATGTTTAGTCATAAAGGACTGGATGTTTTTCAGTGGCCATATCTGTTCAAGGTTTCCCTTCCTAAAAGTACTTTGCAAAGATTACCTTAAAATATAATCGAGCAAAACATATTTAATGTTAAGTTTGAACACAAATACAAATGTTCTTCTTCTAAATGTTACTTGCACTGTATACTTATAGGTAATGTAACTGTCATTATGGAGATTTCTTGTTGAATACCAAGAAGATTAAGCCTTTCCTTTAAATTTCCTACAATTATTGGTAAAACATGTATTGTCAAACTTCATAAATACTGCATTTAAAATACTGCATTTAATGCAGTTTAATAAGTACTTATCAAACTAAATTAAAATGTGCTACAATGCACCTGATTTCATAAGCAGTATGCACATTAATCAGCTATGGAGCCTGCTGTCCCCCTCTGTTCAGGAGCAGAACGATGCTGCCTGTCAGTCTCTATGAGAAATCCCTGTTGAGGTCTGAGCCTCAGTCTATTGAGGTAAGCAATGAGAAAGTAGAGCCCTGAGTGGAAAACACACTAAAATACGTCACTTCCACTGAGGCTGAACCTCTTAGGGGGTCTATGGAGTTGGGGCGGGTAGTGAAGCTGGCTACTCCATGCTGATTGGCAAACATACTAAAAGATTTTTGACAGACAGTGTTTAGACAGCAAGGAGGAGAAAGGGATCATTTATTCAGAACAGTCCTCTTGTGCTGAACTCCTGCCTTAGTTTCTGAAATTTATTATTCCAGAGTGCTTCATCAACGCTATTATCACCCGTTGCAGTAACGTGTTTTATGTGTTTCAACAGTTGTTAAAAGTGACGTGTGGATTTAATTAACATCACTGAGCCTCCCCTGTTTCAGAGGAGCAGATTCAGCTGGTATCTATGTAGTTGATTTTTTTTGTCTGTCCTATCTGTTCATGAACAGGTGTCTATAAACATTTTTAAAGTTCCCCTGACCTGACATCTGCAAGAGGAAGGCAAGGTACTGTAAGGTAATTCAACTGGAATAAAACCTAAAAAATGGGCTGGATATTGGCTGAATAGCAATACATTTGCAGTAAACAATATGCCGGTTTCAGGTTGTATTTCTGCTAATGGAATTGGTGATCCAATCAGAATTAATAATGTATCAGACACAGAAATAAAGGGAGATACTTGTCAATAGAATACTATGCCCTAAATAGTATCAATAAAACAACAACAAACGGCAAAAGGCAAATTTTGTCCGAACCGAAACTTCCAAAACTTAAAAGGCAAAACATGAAACTAATCCACTTAAAGATGATAAATAATACACATATTCTGTTCAAAGGTCACCAGCTGCCTAAAATCACAAAGGTTCCTTTACTTAGCTATGGTCGGTTCAATCAGGTTAAACATTAAACAGAAGAACAGCTAACGGTGTGAAGGAAACTTGTTGAGAGGAGCAGTGGCAGCAGAAAACATTATCAAGTGGCAGTATGTGTACACAGCATGAAGCCATTACTCTGAATCTTCACAGTGGTAAGCTATTCATCTTCCTCTTACTTGCATCTGCTTTCTCACTCAGTTCATCTGATTTCTCCATAAAGAATTATTATCAACATTTTATTATTTGGGACAAAGGGTTGCAACAACTTTTTAAGTTTTCTTTTCTATTCTTGAAAAAAAAAGAAAAATAAATAAGTGTCCTTAATCGCCACGGAAAACACAGACAAAATAAATGTATTACATTAGATATATAAAAAAATGCTGTTTAGTATTAATGGCTTATTACATGAAAACACAAAGATAGAGCAATGTCCAAACAAACCTTCAACAGCAACCATGTGGGTGTTTTGGCAAGAGATTTGCAACAAAACACTTGATGAAAAGACAAAAAAATAAGGTGGCTGAGCTTATTTTTACATTTAGAAAAAAAAAAATAATGTATATAATCTGTAACCTAAGCTGTAAATAATATATCACCTGCTTAAAGGGCTTATTTTGTTGTGTTTTCTGGTTATTTTCAGTTTTCAGGTTTTTATTTGTTGTCCTCTGCTGTCCTCCTGTGTTCCCCTTTTTCCCTAGCTCCTTTCCTGTTCTGCTCACACCTGCTCCCAATCTGCTCGTTAGCCCTCTCTTTATTTCAGTCTCTCATAAATACTCTCTCTGTGCAGTTCTTCAGTGCTGGTTCCTTATCTAACTTCCTCCAACGCCGTCTCTCTGAGCCTTCCTCCTCGTGATAGAATCCCCCCTGATGTCTCCATGATTTCTGGTTTGTTTTGACTTTGTTTTCATGTTTTGATTTTTGGATTCCTGGTTTCCGGTTTGTTTGGACTTTATTTCATTTGTTGTTGGACTTTTGGATTTCCTGCCTCTGGTTTTTGTTAACCTTTCATTTGGGTCAACAAACCACAACCAAATCCTGACAGAGGTGAAGATAATGGGAACAAATGTTAAATGTTATGCTGCTTGATTAAAAAATAAATAAAAAAATAAAAAAATAAAGGCATTGCAGATGTTGCAGAGGGAAAGATCTCTACTTTGTAATAGGTTACCTTCCTGATATTTGTGCAAATTTATTTAAAATGAAATTATTCGTTAAACAGCATTTGGTTCAGTGCTACCCGCCAAGCGTCAGGTACAGTATCACATGAGCACACTCACACCAGGATGTAATTACCCATTAGTTTATCCCTTGTATTTCATGTAACTAGAAGCAAGTCTGTTAATTTTATATAGACTATAATTAATAATTTCACAGTCTGAAACTTTTTAAACTTCATTTAAAATGTTAGGGGATGACAGTGGCATTGGATGTAGGAGTTCCTGGAACCAAAGGGTTGTCGGTTTAATCCCTGGTTCCGTCTTTCAATATCGTTGTGTCCTTGGGCAAGACACTTTACCTGACTTGCCCTGTGATGGTGGTCAGAGGGCCTGGTGCGTCTGTGTACAACATCCTCAGTTCTACAGTGTAGCTCTGCATCATCAGTGTGTGAGTGTTTGCATGAATCAATGAATGAATGAATATAGTATAAAGCGCTTTGATCAAGTTTCCTGACTTGACTATATAAGTACAGACCAAAATAGATATTTATTTATTTAATAAAAGACTATATTAGATTTGTTTTGTATTTAGGAACAAGCTGCACATAGTTTACTGCTTACCACATAGAGCTGCTTCCATAGTAAAGCCCATTCCTGAAGAGTTGATGTCACCTCTGTTACAATTGGGTCTTCCAGAGGCACCACAGACTCATGAGGCCTAAACAAAAATAAAAAAGAAAGCACACATTTTATTAACCGCCAAGTATTTAAGCAATTATTTATCAAATGTATCAAAAGCCTAGAATATCCCCCAAAAAAGCTTTTGTTATCATTTAGAGAAAACCAACAAAGAACTTATACATGGAACTTGATTTTTTTTATGCTCTATGAGAATGAGAATTTAAGCAGAATGGACAATAATCTGAAACGTGCCTTGTCCAACAGTTTTGGTTTTAATTGATGGTTTTTTAATTAGAAATAACAGACACTTTTTCTAACAAGTACAGCTCATTAAAGCATTATCTTCCTGGGTTGTTTCTTGTATTTGTGCATATATGGCAGACTCAAAATGTGCTTATAGAAAAATGTGACATTTGTCCATTTTCTTTCTTGTTCTAAGTTGTATAATTGTGAAGAACCTGGTTCATCTCAAGAAGGAGAAATGAAACAATAGAATATTTCTATATAGAGGTATATATATAAGGTTTTAAAATGAAAAGGTATAAAGAAAAGACCTTCAGAACACTGAAAATACTGATTTTATAAAGTATTTTATGTGTAGTACTTTTGCTACATAACTATTAAGAGATTCAAAATTTAAACTCTCTAAACACTCAAAAGAAATGTAGCTCGAACCTAAATTAATTGCTGCCAAGTAATTGAATCAAAACCAGCCAACTACTATTTTTAAGTTTATAAGTTGAAAACCTAAATAAATTAAGTTAGCCAAGCTTAATTAGATTACTTATTGCCAAATTATTTGGAGATGCATTTTCTTTTTTAGGGAGCAGAGGAAGAAAACCTCACTTCACCTCTTAACATTACCATAAAGCTTAACCTTTTTAAATTTCATTTAATCTTTATTTCACTTTGCAAATGTTGTGGTTCCCAGAGGGTGTGGGAATAAAACTAAGTTTACTCACAGTTTCAGTCTCTAAGTCAGAAATATTAATGCACATATATGATCTCTGCTATAGATCCCCCCCCCCCCTTCCATTCATGTACTTTTCTTACAGTGTGTTCCAATCCCTCTGCCAGCTCTTTCTTCCCCCGTTTCATAACGGTTTAATTAAAAGGAGTAATGTACGAGATTAGCTGATCTCCGTGCTGAACAGCAGACGATAACTGCTTACTGAGTTCAGCAACAGCAGCTGTATTTCGGAAGCTCCCACTGCTTTTCTATTCTTCATTTTGTCCTTTTTCCTTCACTTCAGTACCTTCTGTTGCTCTTCTTCAAGTTCCCTTATCTTGTAACTTCACTTTAACAAACACCTCTAACACAAACTCCTTGTTATGATTACTGCCGTATAGATGATGTATAAAATGAGGATGGACCATCATTTGTCTTTGCTTATCCCAACCACCCAATACTTCAACCCTCTTTAAACAGCTTTATATATCTAAGATAATTTCATTTTGTTCAGAGTTTTACACCCTGCCAATCAAAAGTAACATATAAAAAGGAAACATAAATGACTGAGAAAATAAAACATACCGTGGGCTGGCCAACCCTCAGTAGACACTCATGTTGACCCAGTTTCTTTTTACATTTTATACCCTTACTTTAGCTGCATCATTCCTTTTCCTGGTACAACGTTCTAATCCAATGATTATTTCAGATCTTATTTTTTTGTTCCTGTCTCCATTCATGTTTGTTCTCATGTATTCCTCATATTCTTTCCATACATGTACCTTATCAAGCCCTCTGATTGTGCATCATGTCTCTTCTCAGTTATGATACAGGCTACCATGACCGTCCTCCATCAATATCTGTTGTTGCTTTGCTAGATATTTACAGATCCTATATATACTTTTGTGTAAAATACTATATTTTTTATATTTGCTTCAAAATATATGCAAAAACTCTTGCAACTTTAAAAGCATTTAATGCTTTGCCTGTTGATTGGTTCACTTAATTTTTGTTTTTGTTTTATTAATACTAGATATATATTAAGGCAAGATTTTTTTTTTCCTTATTCATATTTCATGATAAATAATCTTGGTACTCTTTGAATCAAAATAAAATTCAGATTTCAGTATAATGTAGCTGCAATCAGTTTCCTTAGACTCACTGATCTGTGCTTATAGAACCTTTGCGGTTCCGTCAAAAAGTTTGGACAACTAAACCTGACTTGCACTGTCAATAACTGTAAGCTTTTCACATACACAGTGTGTTTCACCCCTGACAAATCACACCATCCTGCTGCTGAAGGTTCCTGACAGACCAAACACACATTTCTACCTCCAGCTATGACAGCAAAACCTTCTTCTGCCCAAACACTCTGCTCCTGCTTCTAAATGCTCTCCAGGTCAGTTCTAAGAACAGCTTCTGTATTTTTATCACATAAATGTTCTTCAATAAAAACTAGTGTAACATTTATCCACTGACCTCCTACACCTGGCCTTTCAAACTATAAAAAAACACATCACTTATATGGCTTCATCAACATTACTCAGCACATGACTTGAAATAGAAATAGCTTTAGACATTTGGTTGTTATTTTTATTGATTTTACTTTGTTTAAAGAAAAATGCACAGCATTCAGTGTGTTGTGTGTTTATTCTCTACTGTGTTGGTTCTGGTATGGTTAGACCAAACCTGTATCACTCAGAGCGTCTACTTTAACAGTTTGTAACAACTTAAAGACATTTTATTGTCATTAAATAAGAATAAAAATCAATCAAATTTTGAAACAGTTATTTCAATAAAATTTTAGAGCTCTCCAAATTTCTGTCTAAAAATGATCTCTTTCATTAGAATAGAATAGAATAGAAAATCCCTTTATTGTCCTAGAATGGGGAAATTTTGGTGTTTACAGCAGCAAAAAGACAATAGAAAAAATGGTCACATAAAAAAATGAACCTTAGAAAAATATGAGAATAACATAATAGTGAAGAGTTAAAAGATAAACAATACAATACTGTACTGTAAAGTGTTTTAACGATATAAATACTGTGCATCCTTAGTATAAATACCTGATATACAGCTATAGACAGTAATGGATATTTGTAAATAGCAACATCATAGATGTGCAAAAATTACAGCACCATGTTATTTATCCGACTAAGGTAGGAACTCTGCAAAATCAGCATGAATGTAGTAACTTATTGAATAATTTTTCAAAATAAATGCATTTATGTTAAGTAGTTTTGTTCTGTATTTATATTTAAGTTGGATTCAAATTTTTCAAGAACTGCTTCTATTAAAAAGTACATTTGGTGTGAGGAAGCAATGTTTTAGTAAAAAAAAAAAGGCTACAGCATCTTTGCAAATTGTGATTAAAGTAACACTAAAGAGTAAACCATCAATTGTGATAGAGTAAATTTAAGAAAAGATGGATCCTATTTTTCACAGCTTTCTGAAATCTTTATTTATTAGAAAATTTAAAACAATTGCTCCCAAACAATTTAGCAGATTCAAAGTCAATAGCAGTTTTGTTTTACAGAGGTCTTAAAAATTTTCACCTTTTGACTAATAATAATGAGGTTCACTTTTAGAGCACACTTGAAAAAAACCTTACACTGAATAAAAACATCTGATCATGGTTCATCGTTTACAGCATACAGTATCTTTCACATTAATACTTAAATGTTGGATACAATGCTCTCATCAATATTTTATTATTATACAGTGTATGCCTCCTGACTATATTATGTGAAATCTTTATCTTTTTATTATTAGATTGAAAGAAAGTAATGTGGTCTGGTTGATCCTACATTGAGAAGCTGATCCCACATTTTAGCAAAAGTCCTCCAGTTCTGCTCTGACAGAGAACGCTGCATGCTTGCAGTGCAGTGTTACTATATGTGGCGTCAATTATCATCACTGAAAGAAGACAGTGTGATCAAAATACATATGACTGCATCATTTCAATTACCTCTACTTAATGTGGCTTTATTTAAGTTTTTGTTTTTGCTGTAAAAGGAAAACAGTTAAAATGTTCCATATTGGAAATTGGTATTCATATGGTTGAAGCCATTTTCTTTAAGGCAGTACAACGACTTTATCTTCAGGTGGAAAGGTGGAAACTCAGTGCAACCTTTGGGGTTTTTTGTGCAAAAATTTCAAGCTTAAAAATGGAAAAAATAATTTTTGGTGCCTGATAAGCTACAGTCAGACTGGTATAACAGAGGCTCCGTAGAAAATAAAACTGCTGGCTTGTAAAAAAAAAAATGTTTGTTTGAATACCTAAATGTCTTTTTCCCTCCCTGGTACTTTTGATGCAGCTTCAAACAAGGCAAAATCAAACTTCAATAAAACTCCAATGGAAACAAATACAGGAGGGCAAGACAGACATAATGAGAAAAAACAAATATGAATAGGGGCATAGATGGTATCCATTAATATACAATATGGCCAATTTTGATTTCTTAATTCTAACATACTGTAATGCTCCCTGAGTTAACAAGCTTTAACCTGATCTGATCATTTTTTCCAGCACATCTTAGCTTGTCCATGCTGCAAAAAAAAATGCCAATACCTGGTTTAATATTTATGATTTTTACTGTGCTTATCTGTCCAGCAAACTAGGTAGACAGAAACCCAAATGACAGTTTATCAGGTAGAGGAGAAAAGGGATGCTTCTAATGTAACCTGAGCTTCCATCACACCTCATCACACCTCGCATCCATGTCAAGCTGCATTGATGCAGTAACTTATACAAAATAAGCCCTGAACAAATACAGAGAGCCTTTCTGTGTCAAAAATATTATTTTTTAACCTCATGTTATATTCCAATTTTCCCGGAAACAGCATTTAGAGTTTACATTAAAATAAATCATATTTGAAATAAAAAGGAAATAAACATTTGTAATACATCGATCTGTGTATCATGAAGCTACATGGGTTTCCCTCTATTAAAGAAATGATTCAAATTAATGAACTTATCAACCATATTCAAATTTATTGAGATGTGTCTGTGAGTCCCAGGAATGAATCACATGCTATATGGAGTCATTAACCTTCAGCCACATGTAGGTCAGCAATGGTTTTAATCT